ATGAGTATTTTTGTCTTTATTTATAGCTGCACTCCAGAAGAGGGCATTAGATCACATGAATCTACAAGTTACAGAGCTGCTATTTGGATGCTGGGAATTGAACTCAGAACCTCAGAAAGAGAAGCTAGTACTTTTAATCACCGAGTCAGTCTCCCCAACCCACTTGCTTTTTGCTTTTGCTGTTGTTTGTTTTTGAGACAGGGCTTCTCTGTGTAGCTCTCACTCTGTAGACCAGAGTAGCCTTGAATACAGAGATCTGCCTGCCGCTGTCTACCCAGTGCTGAGATTAAAGGTGAGCACCACCGCGCTCGTCTTAGAACTGATATTTTTACACAGGTTTCTAAAACAATGAGTTTATTGCAAACTTTAAGCAGACAGGCATGGTTGTAAGGGCACGAGCTGCTCAGTGTTGCTGCTTTAATCATGTATCAATAGCTAACTAATGGACACAGTCTGCAAGGGCTCTATTTAAATACAGTTTTTTTTTTTTAAATCAAATCTATCACGTTCTTGCTTTCCTCTCTAGCCTGGAAAAATGTTGTATTAAATAATGCACACGATTTCCCTAGACAGCCTCCAGTTTCATCTGCAGGGTCCTCTCTGCCACCTGCTTCTTTTACTAAAGGCACCTACTCCATTCAAATCACATACGGCTTCACATTCCATTGTGAAATGTGCTTGTCATGGGGCTCGAGTGTTCATAAACGTGGTATACAGGAAAGGAACACTGTGATCACCCACTTTGCTCCGAAAACGTATTCTTTAACTGAGAAACCACTGACGGCCTTTCTTTTAAAGGAGGGGTTGGGTTTTATCATTTGGCCCTCACGGGAAAGTTCTGAGCTGAGATTTGCCACCTGTTTTCTTCTCCCGAGCCTTCAGATAGCTTGTGATTTGGCAGCGCTTTTGACTGTAAAATCTTGTGAGTGGTGTATTTATTGTGACAATGTCACTGTGATGGTTTGAATGAGAATGGCCCCCAAAGGCTCCTAGATTGGAAGGCTTGGACCCCAGGGAGTGGCACTATTTGGAGGAAGCGTGGCCTTGTTGGAGAGAGTGTGTCTCTGGAGGTGGACTTTGAAGTTTCACAGTCTCATGCCAGGCTTGGTGTCTCTCTCTTCCTATCGCCTGTGGATCTGGATGTTGAACTCTCAGCTAGTCCTCTAGCTCAGTGTCTGCCTCCATGCCACCATGCTTCCCACCGTGATGATAATGGATTAAGCTCCTGAAATTATAAGTAAGCCCTAGTTAAATGCTTATTTTGTGTGCACTGGTGTTTTGTCTGCATGTATGTCCATATGAGGGTATTGGAGCCCCTGGAATTAGAGTCACAGATAGTTGTGAGCTGCTGTGTGGGTGCTGGGAATTGAACCCAGGTCTTCTGGGAGAGCTCTAAACCACTGAGCCATCCATCTATCCAGCCCCCAGAAACTGATTTTATGAGTTACTGTGGTCATGGTGTCTCTTCACAGCACCAGGACACTGACCAGTACAATGACTTATCAAGCTGTTCCTATTTCTTTATGTGAGGCATTCAAAGAATTGGGTCTGTCTGATTCTTAAGGCACAGTTAGGGTCTTAGGAAAATGGCTGTGAATCAGTTCAATGAGTATAGAGGATTGTCGATCTCCAAAGACCTTGGGATTCAGAAAGGATATAATAAACCTCTTAGCAAAATATCTTCTTTCTCCTTGCAAAAATAAGAAGGAAATCATACCTACTGGGCTGAAGTCAAAGACTGTCCATGATAAGACAGCTTTGTCTTATTTTCCAACAGTGTTCCTTGGATTTAGTGTGCACACGAATCACCAATGTTTAATAAGGTCACCTTCCTCACAGGGAATGTGCCAATAAAACCCAAGTATAATTATCTGTAAACCTCTTCCAACTGTATTTTTGGTTTAAGAATCTCATGGCGGCCCTCCTCTGCAGAATTCATTTAATTCTTTAATTTCAATTTGCATACAAATGTCCCATGGGGGTAAGCCTCCTACTCATTAGCCCTTGTCTTTGGCTGAAGCTACGAACTTCAAAAGAGCACCAATAAAAACACAACAAGTGGTCCCAATCTCAAAACTCTCACAGTTTGTGTGAAAGTCTGAGTCTGGGTTGGCTTAGATTCCTGCTGAACTGATTTACCATCCTTTGAGAATTCTTTAACGAGAGAAAGTAGAAATCTAAGGTATTCCTATTAAGATGCTCGAGACCCTGAAGAAAATCTATTGAAAAGAAAGAATTCTGAAGCTCCCCACCCCAAACACATTTAAGTCTTAAAACAGTGGGTATTCAATAAAGGGTTTCTCCATTTTTTCTTTTTGATTTTATAATTTTTTTGGGTAGATTCCAGTGTGAACCTTTTTCTGAATCTGTTTTCCTAACCAATTATATTAAAAAGAAAAGACCTTTTTTTGGGTAGCACACTGCCTTTCTTGGGCAGCTGGGTTGTTGGGTATTGACCAACCCCATGGTAGAGGACACACCTGCTGGGCCATGCAAGAGCAGGAATGGTGGTGATTGAGAGGGGCAGGCTTGACTTCAGTATCCAATTGTACCCTAAATCTCAGCAATTTGTGTTTAGAAAACTGGAAGCTTTCTTTAGGGAAGAGGGTGGCTATTCATCATGGCACCCCACGTTATCACAGGCTCAGGACAGAGTGTTCTCCATAAAGCAGTTATGCCCATAAGGCAATGCTGATTATTGTGACAAAATGACACTGTGTTCATTGTGTGATGGTCATTAGGCTTCATGTGAACTAATGAGTTTTGCTCTCTATATTGTAACCTTATAGAATAGGAATACTTGTAATCTGTGCTATAGCCAAGGAGGCAGAGGTTTAAGGAACTTGTAGTTACTCAGCACATGTGGAATTGTTGGTACATAAGTGCACAGCTCATGTGCACATAAATAAAACCAAGAAGTGAGAAATACAAACCTCAGATAATGACTTTAGAAACAATGATATAATAAACTTTATGGCTAAAAGTGTGTGTGTGTGTGTGTGTGTGTATGTGTGTGTGTGTGTGTGTGTGAGAGAGAGAGAGAGAGAGAGAGAGAGAGAGAGAGAGAGAGAGAGAGAGAGAGAGGAGGGAAAAAAGGAGACACACACAGATGCTTCCAAAAGTCTCCTTTTAAAATTAAAATTAAGTAATTGAGGACAGGTGAGATGTTAACAGGTAAAAACTCCTGCCAAGTAAAGACTAATGGCCCAAGTTTGCTCATGGGGACCACCATGGAACAATAGAACTGACTCCTGCAAATTGTTCTCTGATCTCCCCATTGGAGACCTGGCACCCCACTCCTCCCTGTCCCCAATAAAATAAAATGTAATAAAATAGAAATTAAATAATCGAACAACAGAATTATCTCTTTCTACTACTAGTCTGACATATTTTACAGTAATACGAATATGCAGGATTACAGGCATGTACTACCAGGTGTGGCCAAAAAATCTTAGATTTTCTATGAATTTGTTCATGAACTTATATACCGAGATTGAAAATACGTGACAGCGCCTTAAGACCCCCCCCACTGTAGCAAAATGTACAAGTGTAAAATCTTTTATATACAGGCAAACAAGCAAGAAATAAAAAACACTCAAATCTCATCATTCCTTACAGTGAAATAAACTAGCTGTGTCTTACTACATAATGGCTTTTGCAAGCTGTTTTATTTTCTGTTTATTTCTAACCTATATAAAATTTTGATTACCATTAAGAAAACAATGGCACTGTTAATTTATCTAGGGGTAGTAATAAACTATTCTCTTTTGCTCCCTCCCTCTTTTTCTCTCTCACTCTCTTACACACACACACACACACACACGTACACACACACGTGCGCACGCGCGCGCGCGCACACACACACACACAGAGTTTATTTTGAAATCCCCCCCCCCCAAGACAAGGTTTCTCTGTGTAGCTCTGACTGTCCTGGAACTCACTCTGTAGACCAGGCTGGCCTCGAACTCACAGAGATCCGCCTGCCTCTGCCTCTTGAGTGCTGGGATTAAAGGTGTGCACCTCCACCACCACTGCCAGGCAACACATAGTATAATAGTGTTAACATGTGCTCAAATCAAAACAGGAACATTTACATAATTATCCATAATAGTCTCAAAGAGAGAACAATCCAAACGCACATTCACTGATACAAAGATGACTTAGGTTTAGCCTATCCACAGAGTGGAATATTATTTGGGAAAAAAAGAGAAAAGTAAAGTACTGACTCATGGCATTGTGACTAGTGAAAGAAGCCAGCCACAGAATACCATCAATCATGTGATCGCATTTACAGAAGGGCCAAGTGTTTAGAGACAAATGGTAGGTTAGTATTTGGGGGGAGGGGTGTGGAAAAGGCCGTAAAAGTGAGATGGTGAATGACATGTTTTTTTCTAAAGATTCACTTTTTATTTTTACTTTTATGTGTGTGAATGCTTGCCCTATATGTGGCGGTGCCGGCAGACTCCAGAGGTGGTGCGGGACCCTCTGGAGCTGGAGTTACAGGTGGTTGTCAGTCGCTCGATGTGGGCGCTAGCAACCAAACTCTGGTCCTCTGTAAGATCAGGAAGTGCCCCGACCCCTGAGTCATCTCTCTAGCCTTGGTAAGTGACTCCTAATGAGTACAAAGTTACTTTTGGGGTTGACGGAAATGTTTTCACATCTGTTATAGTGGTTACTGTGTAACTCTGTAACTGTTCTCAGAAACCAAGGAACCAGAGTTTTAGTGGGTTCCATTTGTGGTTATGTTTATCACAGCCCAGTAAGGCTGTCCTTGGTCTCCTGTGGTCTTCACTACAGCAGCAGGGACTGTACACGAGCAGAGCTCCAGACAATTCACCTTCCCCTTTCGGGTCCTAATTCTTCCTGCATCTCCAGGTTCCCTGAGCTCCAGCCCCGGAAGAAACTTGGTTGATGGTCACTCTCCGTAAAGAGCCCCCCCCCCCCCCCCAATGTGTTTTAAACCTATTCGACTAGAAGAAAAGGGAAACATCAGGACGTACCTTCAATGATGTGCTTTCTTGACAATCCTCTCTCTGTCTCAGCTCTGCAACAGAAAAGAGGTAAAGGGCTTTGGCTGGGGAATGCTGTTTTATTTTCTAAAATAAAATCTGTTTCAAAATGAAGAATAATGCCCATTCTTAACTTTTTTTAATTTATTCTTTGTGTCTTCCACATTATTCCTCTCAAGCCCACTCATCTCCCCCACCCAAAAAAGTAAATAAAGAAAATCTAAGAGAAAAAAATGGGGGGGGGGACGGTGGAGGAAGAAAGAAAAATCTCGTCATGGAAGCTGTAATGTGACACATTAAACCCCTTTATCCAGACATTTTTACATATGCAGGCATTCATTGTAAAGAATCCTTGCTCAGGTTCAAAGACCCTGGACTCTGCTATCTCCATTAACTTTGCCACCTGTGGTGGGTGAGAGAGCTGACCCTTCCTCCCCTCACCAGCTGCAGCACTCAGGAAAGTAGACCTGACTCCTCACCTGGACAGCACAGTAGAGCTGATCCTATTGGCTGAGGTGTGAGCGAGCCAGTTCCCATAGATGGGCGAGCTGCCCCCATTACTCATCTGTTATGTAGCATCATGGGCGGCAGGGGTGGGGGTGGGGGTGGGGGTGGGATTTCCCCCTATCCCTGTCAATACCCAAAGAAGGTGGAAGAACTGCCCCTGACGTCATAAGAGCAGGAGAGCGGTCCCCGCCCCTCATCAGCTGCAACACTCAGGGCCAGCTCTACTGTGTTGCCCAGGCGAGGTGTTGCAGCACTCAGTACCCCAAGTGTGGGGACCCTAAGAGGTGTGACCAGGCCATTGCTAGCACTCAGCACCCCAAGTGTGGGGACCCTAATGTGGCCAGGCTGTTGCTAGCGCCCAGCTCTAGGTCAAGCTACCAATCAGCCATGCTCACCCTTCCCTTAGAGAACACAATACACAGCTCAGTCTTCTAGCCTTGTTCCTGACCAATCTAGAGAAGAAAAAAAGTCTCGGCCTAAGTTCATAGGTTTACTCTGTTGTGGGCACACCACCGATGCTGAATTTTTGGATAAAGCAAATTTGAAAGCATTTTTTGATAATAAAAATGATTTAATAATGATTTTTTTTGAAAAAAGATGCCATACACTAGCCTTAAATTATCATTTGAAGGGACGAGACAAGCCTTTGATGACAGAGCTTCTGCTCCTCCAGAAAAGCCCTAAAAGTCTGGGCAAGCGGAAAGGATGTGGTGGCTGGGTCTTAAGTGCTGGTGAGGTACTCCTTCAACGTCAACGCTTTGGACAGCGTCTACAGACCTGTGTGCCACCATTGACCTGCTTATCTGTTCCCAGACTTTTACAAGAACATCAGTTAGTACTGTGTGTAGCTCCGCTACATAGTGGCCCCTGCGTCTGGTCTCATCTCTGGACTATCCTTGCCCTCGAGGCGAGGTTTCACGTTCCTTTGCAAACACAGGGATAGGGAATTGAGGAGACCATGAATCAAACTACAGAAAATGGGCACCTGGATTTCTTATAGGTACCGTATTATCTAAAAAAGAGAACATTAGGAATAAAAATCTAAATTCCATCTTTATCTTTTCATATCTTTAACAAGCTCAAGGGTCATCACCATGCGAGCATGTGTGTGTGCACACACACGCTTTGTGATTGCGATCTTCCTAAAGAACTCGTCCTGGCCTCCTATTTTAACACACAAACTGGTGACAACAACTGAAGAGAAAACAGGTACTTTTCTGTGTCTCCCCACCTACTTCAGGGTGGTCAGTAAGGTTGTCGCTGTTGTTAGAATACCAGCATCTTTGAGATTTCGACAACCATTGCTCCGGTATAAGGACCAGTGTGCTGTTTTCTTACATTTTGGTAAAAGAAGCCAGCTCCCTGGTTCTTGTTGAATAACGTAAGCACTGTTCAAGCATTAACAGGCTGGTTCATTGGAATCCAGCTCAGCCTGGGGATTTGTTCTGCACCCAGCAACGCCAAGAGGGCTGCTCTCATTTGTCCTGCTGGTGAGCAACACAGGATTGTGTCTGTCACCCCCTAGTGTGACGTTCTTTCTGATCAGCATTCTTAGAACCTTCTGCAGAAACCATCAGAGACTTGAACAGGGAGGCCAACAGGATACTTTTATCTTTGCCTTCTGTGGAAATCTTTGCGATTTGGAAGATTTAAGGAACTTGTCTTTTGTGGTGTTTTATTTTCCTGAATTCTGAACTCTATTTTGGAAATGGTTGTTAACTATGACACTGAGAAATCTACACTGGTCATTTAGTAGCAAGTGGCCACCTGCTTTGTACTAAATTTCTTTGAGAATTACTCTTCATTTGTGACTAGCTCTGCACTCTGATCTTCAGGCATGAAGTATCACCACATCTCATCTTATAGAACAATCAAATAAATAAATAAATAAATAATTGATGTTTAACTTACTTTCCACCCCAGTAGAGTTTGGTTGTGATGACCAAGCTAGACCTCCTGCACATCAAACAGACACAAAGAAAGAGCAGGTCATTGTGGGTTCTTGATGGCCTGAATCATTACGATAGCACCAGAAGGAATTGGTGATAGTACCTCACTACAAAAAGAACGTGGAGACGGAGTTCTGAACTCATAGCCCCGAAATGTAAGAACAAGGGAGCTGGTGAGCCGAGATTTGAAGGCAGACCCTTGAAGGGACTGAAGGGAAGCAATCTTTGCCGGAGACCCTGGGAGGAGGTGGAGGGCTGCCCAGCATGTCCGTGCATGGTGCTGCAATGTGTGCTTTTGACAGCTTTTGGCTGAGGTGATCTTGGAGGTCAGAGACGGCTCCTGAGAATGGAGGTGACCTACAGGAGGAGCTGCCTTGGTAGCTCAGAGGAGCGGCCACTGATTAACACTTATTTAGAATCTGGCATGACGTGATGGCCTGTGAACCTTTCCTGGGAGGAAGCCTCCTCTCTGCCAAGTCTCCTGGTTACTATCTTATCCAATCAGTGCCCTCACAGGCAGTGGGAAGTTACTGACTGCGTAGAAACAGGAGCGATGAGCTAAAGGTCATAGTCAGTAGGTGCTTGAAATCCTTTGTCAAATGTCCTTTCTCTTTACCGCAAAGGGATGAAACATGGACATCATGTCGGCAAACTGGTTCCCCATTCGAAAGCCCCACCCAAGGGCAGCAAACACTCCAGTGTTAGGATCATGAAGAACTGTTCTTTGGGAATCACAGGAATATAATTTAAACTTGGGAGGCAGCAAGAGCTCAGTGCATATTGGTTTAGAATAAAATCTTTTGAGGTTCAGAGATTAAGACCCAACTTTGGGATTATTTGAAAGACAAGGCATTTATAATTCTGTCACGTTATCATTCTGTTGATACCTTAAAACTCTTGGGCATACAAGGCCTCTGTGATAAATGATGACCAGTGGGGAGTGATGGGGACAATTCTGACAGCTTGGTGGCAAAATGAAAAATGTGTTGAAAACATCGGCCTCTCCATCCCACTAAGTTAATTCCCTGGAAAGTAATTTGAGTTACAGGATGGAAGGTCTGCAGACATATCGTCCTGGGGGTCGCATACTCCTAACGGGCTGCGTCCTTTTCGCATTAACACATCAGCCTTCCACGACCGATGGTAACGGCAATCTGCACAGGGGAGCCAGGGCTCCTTTAGCAAACACTTCTATCTTCCAAAAACAAGGTTGTTTGAAATATTATTAAAAAGTAAACATAAGCCCTTTTGATTAGTCAGAGCAAATATTTTGCTAAAGGTGCACATTCTCTCCAAACACTGATGTTAGACTCCACAAAACTGTCCGCCCCACACCGGCGTTCAGGCTCAAGTGCAAGATTAGATCGAAGCCTGACAAAGGATCGCTCACTGAGCCCTCGAGGCTCTCAGAGTAACTGTTCCGGGTGGTGGAGGAAGATGGCACAGTCCCCGAGGCTTCGCTCGCTTCTCGCTCCATCAGCAGGGCACCTCTGCAGCCATTTTACAGCCGGGGAAATCAAGGCTCAGAGACGTGACATCACTTTCGCCCGGCACTGCTGCTGGCCAGCGACAGCAGAAGAACAGGCAGCCAAGCCAGCGAGTTGAACAGCTTGGTTAGGCTCCACGCTAGGATGGCAAGGTTTATCCTCTCTCCGGTCTCCTCCAGGGGGCAAATGTGAACCGCATAAACTTTTCATAGCATAGCACTAGCTGGGGCTGTTATCGGCAAGGCTGGAAGGTGGCTTGTGGAATATTCATACACATCTATTTTCCACAATGTATGTATGATAGGTTCTGCAAGTAAGGAGGATGTATCGGTGCTCGCTGAGGGAAAACCACTGCCTGTCCTTCCTCACGCACAGGGCAGTCTTTATTTTGCTGTTGGTCTTGCTTTGCTGTGTTGCATGAACCTCCCCTCCTTCACCCAAACATCATGTAACCCCCCCCATTGCCACTTGCTTTCTGTACAGTTGGTGGAAGGGATGGGTGAGCACACTCCTTGAATTTTGTGGAGCCCCCAAGGATACCAAACACTCCTCTGAATACTCAGAAACTAGAGCTCCAGGCACCCAGGACAGATGCTGGCAACCGTCCCCAGATGAGACAGCTTTCGGCAATTATCCTAAGGGCTTTTTGGTTTCCTCGTTGCTTTGTGCAGAGAGCTGTTAACAAAACGAGAGGTGAACCTAAATCTGTGTGTCTAGATGGTTTCCTGGGGCTCCCTTTCTTCACTCATTGCAAGTGCTGTCAGAGCTATGAGAACGCCGCTCTCTGTGATGCTCGAATACCTCACAAACGGCTCTTCTTCTCTGCCTGACCCTGCCGTCACACACTGGAGCCAGTGGCTAAGGATTTTCTCACATACAAGTAATGAACTCTCCGGCATTTATTTCCAAAATGCTAGAGATTGTTTCTTTACCAAGTGTTGGTTTCTTCTTGGGACAGCCTTTTCTCCTAGTGCCAAATGATTTTCTTTTTGTTTTTTTTTTTTTCTGGGGCAAACCAGTGAGTCTTTAAAAAAGGCCAACAAGCAGTGATGGTAGACAAGATTACCTCCAGCCTTTCTTCTTGATGATGTTCCCCAGGATCACCTCAGCCCTGAAGGAGGAGAAGACAATGTCTCAGAAGGCAGCGTCTCAGAAAAGCAAGAGTCAACCCAGCACTACAGCCATCCCATTTTTGAACTCTCAGAGCCTACAGAACCCCAAAATAGAAGCTCTCTCAGCTGGTAGCACGGTCTCCACTGTTTCTGCTTGTGCCGGCAGAATCCGGCTCCCAGGCATTCCAGAAGCACTTGCCAAAATGCTGGCGCTGGCAAGAGACCGCCTGTGGTCCTGACATAAGAAACAGAGGAGTCATCTGGCAGCTTGGTCCCACATAAAAATATCCTACTCTGTGGTGTTCAACGAGAGGCAAGGTTTCTCCATCTAATTGCGGTGGAACAATTTAGTTGTGCCCAGAGGACAAGAGACCTCAGACTGTTTAGACAGAAAATATTGACCCCCAGGTGATCTTGGAAGGAAAAAAAAAGAATCGACATGTGCATTCAAATGTCCCCAAGTCCAGCAGTTATGGTGATCCATATTAAAAATGTCTTAGGATTGAGTAATGCTTGCCGTAGGACTAAGATACAAGGAGACACTACAATACCTTTCCTGTCACCAAGACTGGGCTGTGGAAAGGTGTACTAAAGACATCTTATTATTCTCTTCCCCTTCTATTTCCTCAGGCAGATTCATTAGGATTGAGGAAACTACAATGCTCTCCTACATCCCTCCCAGTATGATCCTCAGCGTGAAAAGCTGTGGGGCTGCCAGAGACCGGAGGGGGGAGGTTAACGCAGTTAGCACTTGGATCATCAGTGAGCTAGATACGGATGCCACTGCTAACTATTCTTTTATAGAAACAAATGTTGTTTTTGTACAGCCTCCAAGACATCATGATGCAGGCTAGCTGTGCAGCCTGCTCCAAACGGAGAGAGATTGGATGGTACTGGAATCTTTTCTGTTTCTTCTTGTTTGGCTATTGTTCCATGTAACCTTACATAGGGAGACCCTATCTCAATTCCACAGTTCAATAATGATTCAGGGGACTATCCCTCATATTTGGAGTTACAGTCAGGTCTCTAGTAGGCTCACTATATTTCCTTTCTCTGCCTTAGCCTCTTTGCTGTTGTACAAGATTCAAAGAAGAAACCCCGGACAAGAGGGCATGCAGAAAGGAGCAAGGTCTTACAACCTCTTTCTTTTCTTGCACTCATAAACAACAAATTCTCTGATGGTCCTTAAGCACATACAGAGCCTTAAAAAGGAGGACACAAAGTAAGGAAAATGTTCTTCTATCATCTGGGGTTGGTGGGTCAAGCCTCAGCTCAACTGTCACTTGCTTGAGGGAGGGGCAGCGGGCTTGATGGGACTGTACTCCACAGTTCCCCCGAGAGACCCGCAGGGATGTCTGCTTCCTTGACTGATGGAAGTTGGACATCCATGTTTATTCCAGGAGAGCAGGGCTTCATCCCTATTCTAAAGCACAATAGTTACGTTGTGGCATGTGCTTGGTGACCTGGCCTGACAGAGCATCAGCTCCGTGTTCTGGTTTGGCCAGCCATATTGAGAGTACCCACTCAACACTCGGGTCCAGACACTAGAAGTCACTCCTCAACAGAAGTGAGGACTCTCTGCCACCTGCTGTCTTCAGAGGAGGCTCTTAAGCGCCCTCTTGCAAAAGCTGTTGATACTTTAGCATCATTTGGGAATCACAACTTTCATGGAAATCAGCCCAGGGACAGGTGGTCAAATAATTAGTTAACACCTCTCCATCTCCGTCGTTTCCCTGGCATGTTTTTCTCGTGTTTGCCTCTCTTCAGCGCATTTTTCTTACAGGAATGGTATGGGTAGACCAAGAGGGTCCCAGAGTTCAACACTCCCGATTCTACTGATGGACTGAGGAAGAGCATGCCTGCTGAGACCCGCCCGAGAAGCAGCCCCTCCTCCCCAATGCCACAGCAATGTCTGGGCACACCCTCTTGGTTCCAGGGATGCCAGGTGAGGGACGGTAACTGGTTCTGACTTACTTCCCAGCGGCGTAGACCTCAGCAGTGTCGAAGAGATTAACTCCACTTTCATAGGCAATTGTCATCAACCGTTCAGCAACCTGCCAGAGTGCAAAGGTCAGTCAGAAATGCCAAAAATGCCTTCCAGGCTGGGAAAGGAAGCGGTGTTAAATACTTTATCTGCCTTTCACTCTGAGGCCTCATTACCATTTCTCATTTTTCTCAGTTGTAGTGACTGACAGAAGAAAGAAGAGCCGAGCACAGAGGGCATGTAATCCTTCTACTCTCCAAGTAGGCTGTAATTCCTCTTCCGTGTGTGTGTGTGTGTGTGTGTGTGTGTGTGTGTGTGTGTATGTGTGTGCACGCGTGTGTCTGTGTGGCGGGACGGGGAGAGGGGGAGCATTGTTGGTCATCCTCCAGCTGAGGTGTTCAGATCTGTGTTTCCCTCCCCGCTGGGAAAACCTTGTTTGGTAATACCCTCTGTGACACGTAATCTTGCTGACAAAGAGGGTCATTTGTATCAACACCGCCTCCATCTCTCCACTCCTTTCTGCAAGCCGATAGTTTCTGGCAGCTGGGTGACTCCTGACCTAAAAGCTTGTGACTTTCCTCAAGGCCTAGCCAACTGTGCTGATGAGTCACGGGACCGACAACCATGACTGTTGTGACGCTCCTGGGCACCCGCAGTTTCGGTGGAACAGTGAGCGTCATCTTGGAGCTGCTGCTGAGTCAACACTGGGGAGGAAGCAAGACCCTGACTCACTGGGGGACAGCTCCTACTGCTCAGGCTGCAGCAGAACAGAGCTCCAGGATTCCTGGAGCTGCTCAGAGCAAGCGAGGAGTGTGGGCGGAGAGTAGACGCCTATCGGGGTTATCTGCAGCAACCGCGGGAGGTGTGGCTGTCTTAGCAAACCATGGAGCAGCACTAAAGGAGCCTATCTTCACCTTGCTGGTTTATTTATGAGAAGTTTGAACAGTTTCCCCACTTCACAAATCATTACAGTTGATTTTCTAGTATGTTCTTTGATGGTGGACTAGTGTTGCTTCTTCAGCATTTCTATGATAAGACTGTGTTTCTGGTGCTTTGAAAATTAGCCTCCTAAGACCAGGGCTAGGCTGGGGGGCACAACTTTTGCATTACCTGCAAGAAAGCAGTTGCAGCCTTTAACCTGCTACTGTAAAAACCTCATGCCTGAGCAGAGCTGAAAAGTAGAGCAAATAGATTTTCCTCCTTCTGAATGCCCTATGTTTTAGAAGTTACTGTGTGTGCAGTAAAAATGATAATGGTATGTCATACGGCATATTGGTGGATTATTATTGGGAAAGGTAACAATTACGTCTTATCTCCAGAGAAGGTTTGAGATGGAGAATTCTGGATGACACTTGGCTTGACTGAGGGTAGGAACACTTCCAAAAATACAGGATCTGAAGACCTCATGAGGAATGGTGGGGAAGACATTGAATTAAGTCTGAAGACCGGCTTTAGGCCTTGAGAGAGTTTTTGATCTGAAACGTCTTATGAAAGCCCCTGTGTTTGGTTCCTAGTCTGTAGCATTATTTGGAGATGGCAGAAACTTTAGGAAGCGGGGCCTAATGATAGGATGTTGTTACCAGGATCCTGCCTCTTGGCTCTTCCTGGTGCACACGTCCTCTAACGCACACTCAGTCATGACCGGCTGGCTCACTACAGGATGCAAGCCAGTAGAGCCAAAAGGAGGGAAAACCCTGAAAGTTTAAGGCAAAATAAACCTTTGCCTCCCCAAAAGTGACTGACTTGAGGTCTTTGGTCAACATGACGAAAAGTGAGCACAGTCCATGAATGTCCCCTTACTCTATAAACTTGAACAAATCATTCGGCTTTTGCAGATTTCAGTTTCCTTCTCTGAAAACTGAAGCGGAGTCTATGAAGGGATCTCCTTCTCCCTCACGGAGCCTGGAGGCAACAGGGGAAGCTGGTCTCACTTCCTTAACAAGGGCCTAATGGCCTGTGAACTACGTGGCCAAGAAAAGTCTTGTGAGAGATTCACACTAATGAGATGTTGCAAAGAATTCTGGGAACACCTTTCTCTTCTTCACAGTTTCTAGAAATGGAGCTTTTGCCTTGCTCTTTTTGAGTCTTAACTATTCCTGCAGCTATTTCATTCCTGCTGCCCGAAGAGGAAGTTGATACAAAGGGATGTTTAGAGCCGAGAGAATGGTTCTCTTCCTAAAACTTAAGTCAGACTTTTCTTCCTAAAAGCTTAAAAGTCAGAATGAATGCTCTCTATTTGGCTAAATTAATGTGAGCAGGGTTTAATGCTACCTGCTATTAAAGCTACTCCAACTACATTACAGAAGAGAAAACATGGAATAAATCCCCAATTCAGTGCTTTTTGGATACTAAATGTGCTCTCTTAACAATTATTTTTAAGAAATTATTCCTCATATGAGTAACATATATCTTGGTTTTTATTTAAAAGGCATACCATCGAGTATCGGATATCTTTGTTGATAATCCCTGCTAAGTACCTATCCGATATGTTGTTGAAATCTTCAGGGACAGGGACTTCGCACCCTCTTGGGGAGGCACTGATAATTACAGCCCCCAGCAGATTATGGTGTGGTCATTTGTGCCTGCTTTAGGATGATAGCGCCTGGAAGTCTGAGACGGAGCTGAACAATCAGGGAGGTGAATGCATTGCTGCTGGCTTATCATTTTACCCTAGGTGGCATTGAGCCATGCAGTGGTGGGCATTGGCTCCCAGCCAGCCCCTCTGCTCACAAGGCTAGCCATCTTTGTCTGTTTTCTCCCACACAGTGCACCGGGCAGTAGCAGGTCCCCTGCAGACTGGAGACGCTGGCTAGGAACTTCGTTCCCTTCTAACTTGCTGCTGTCTTCGTACCTAACAGTGTCTGTGTCCTTAGCTGCATTCCTCGTGAATGTGCCTCTGTACACCTCTATACTCCTCTGAAATTGAATGACGTGTTTGCCCTGGCAATGCTGAAGCAAGCATGGGCAAACCATATATGGTGGTTCTGTTGAACTTGTCCATACTGGGTTTTATGGTCTAAGTTGATGAGGACGACTGACCAGACCTTTTCCTCTCTATCTTTCCCTACCCAATGCCAGTCATAAGGCCTCTTGATGTGCACCCAGGTCCTCCTGGAGGGAGGAAGGACTTACTTCCATAGCTACAGGGAGTGCTGCCCTTGAAAGACTTTCTGCTGCCAGCCCCCGAAAGCTGTATTTGGATGGAGTCACCTCAACCAAAAACCTCATTCTAGGAAAGCTTTTACCTGATGTTTGAGCAAGATACACACACACACACACACACACACACAAATAAGAATCCAAGAAAAGGGGAAGAGAAGAATAATCCCTCTGCACATTTTCTGCACATTGTAGAAGTTGAAAGTGACTCACCTCGTCTGAAACTTGACCTCCAAATGTCACCCATGTTCCTGGAAGAGAAGAAATATTTGTAGTCATTTTTATAATATTGTACACAATAAGAGGAGACCTTTATGTCAGAGCAGGTAGTTCATAAATGCGCCTAGATGGGGGCACATGCATACTCTAGTCTAGCCTTTGCCCACTTCCTAATATTCCAGGAAGGGTGAGTGTCCCTTTGGGGGAAGGGTGCCTCTTCAAGATACCATGGATGCTTATGGTGCAGATCCCTGGATTCTGCTCTGGGACCAGATGCACAGGAAGTCAGTGCTACAGAGCTCACACCGGCTGCATGCTTTTTTTTTTTTTTTTCACTCTTCTGCAGCTAGAAAGGCCTATTCTGTAAGCAAGCACAAGAAAGCGTGGCAGCCGGAGTGAGCCAGGCCTTGACTTATGCTGCTGGCCTTGTTTGTAGAATCTGGAATTTTTAGTTACATTTCCAGAGGACTTTTCAGACATTCTGCCAGGACCCGGGTGGTGACCCTTCATGTACCTTCTCTGTGTACACTGCTCTGGGAAATTTCTGTGGGTTTGGGGTGAAGGTAGAGGCAGGAGCCAGGGCAAGGTGAAAAAGGCAGAAGGAGGGGGTATAGCCCGCAGCAGCAAGCCGTGCTGGGCTCCAACAAGCCTCTTTAGTCGGTCCCTTCCTTAGCTGCCTTTTTCTTGAGCCGTGAGTCTATCAGACAGAGAAATGACCTCATGTACCAAGGAGAGTGAGGTGAATGGCGCACTTCCCATCTCAAGTTCCTAATTAGCTGTGCGTCTTGATAAAGGCTCTAACCAAGGCAGACACAAGACATGCCAGTAGAGAGTGCTCTACCTAGGCTGGAGGAGCAAGGACTCGTAGAGGACTTCCTAGAGAATGACACTGTGATGGAGTCTTACAGGAGTAAAGGGAATGGAGAAGAAGGGGTAGGCGTTTCGACATGGACAGGATCTTGGAAAAACAAGAAGGCGGAGAATGTGAAAGTGTCTGGACCATCAGGCCACGGGGTGAAACATGAGTCAGAGGGAGATTTGGGCAAGAGTAGAAGCAGTTAGGGCGTGGGTATGGTTAACGCTTCTAGGGCTGGAAAGAAATGCTGCTGGCAATATATATATATTCTGCATTTCACTGTAACGGTCATAGCTACTACCATGGCACACCTTCTAGATGCCAGGGAGTAGACGACAAAACTTTTCTTGAATCATTTGACAGACTCAGAGGGCAATTTTATCTGTGTCTACAGTTAAGGAATCTCACATCGGCCAACACTAGGTGACACACCTAAGCTCCTACCAACATGCTTGGCTTTGAGAGGGCTGCCCCCTTTAGTGTACCACACTGCTGAATTCGACTATCTCTCAATTAGTGTGGCATCCACAGACATATGCTGATGTGCTATTTTCTTTGTCCTAAGACAAACGTGTGTGTAAATCACCTTACACGTGCACTCTCTATCTCCAGAGGTTGCAGATAGGCAGCCCACGGCTGACGCTCAGCTTGCAGGCGCATTCTGCTTCACTACAACGGAGCCAACCAACTTGGATTTCAGGGAATTTTGAATGAGTTACTGACATTTAAAGACTTAGGAAATTTTTCTGAAAAAGTTTGGATTTTCAGCAAACACTGACAACAAAGTGTCAATGTCCTTCTAGGTAGGCATTCCCCAAACTGGGGGGGGGGGCGCTTTTGTGAAAGACTGTGCCCGTTTGCGAACTTCCCCACCCCACTTCCTGGTATATTCTTAACATTAGAAGAAAATGGCTACTGCTTTGTACCATATGCTAATTGCCATTTTTCTTACAGCAAAAATAAGAGGATGTGAACTTTTAATTAAAAAAAAAACAAAGTTAATTCTTTTAAGAAAAAAATAGGCAGAGACATTTTTTTTTCCCAAAGAATATTCCAAACCAAGAATGCTAACAAAGAAAAATCCCACCCTAAGGAACCAAAATAAAACCAGTCATGACCTGTACACAGAAAAGATGGTCTTTGAAAAACTTAACGGTCTGAGGAAATGGTCCATGTTTGGTTTGGAATGGGAATTAAGTAAGTGAGGTGCTGTGATTAAACTCTGTATTAAGTGAAAATAATTGCCTGGGTGTCACAACCTTCTCACAGACAAGATGTTTATAAAGAGTCCTTTTGAATGTGGCAGAAGTGACGAGTCCAGGGAGCAAACATTTGAGAACGTTAACAGAACTGGCACGGCATGTCAGGCAGAGAGTGAAGAGGGCTCAGCACAAGTCAAACAGCTGGAGCCACTCTCTGAGGCAGCAAAGGAGAAAGCAGATCTGAGGGACAGCTCACTGTTGACTATTTGTGGCCTGGTGAGAACTTTGAATTATCAGGCCCATGAAAAGAAAAAACATGTGTGTATGGGGGGGTGGAGAGGTCTCAGATCATTTAGAAATGTAATAATCTGGTCAAAGTCACTGTTGCCCGAGGTGGGTGGGGTTGCTGCAGACCGAAGATGGCACTCTTTTGTTGGAACATTGTACCTGAGTCCCTTAATTTCCCCATTTATTAATAATGGCTTTGGGCGAAGAGCTAAAATGGGACAAGCCACGGATTCAGTAATGAATCCCACAAATTAGCTGTTCTTCTATGTCTTCAAGCAAAATCAGGTCAACGTTTGCTTAATGAATTTCCTAGCTGGCTTGGGCCGTGCGGTGAAAGCAGTTCTTTTGTTTGTTTGTTTTTTTTAGTTGTTCACATCGTCAGTGAGATTAGACCCGTCTCTACTGAGTCCCGGAGACTTCCTGGAGCCTGCGCTTCTTGCTGATCCTACAAATCAGCTGTGCCTGAATACTTCTCTACGGGGACAGTCCCAAGAACAGATGTTCCTTGACTGGTAAATCTAGCGAGTGTTGGCAATACCGTGAGCCAAACGCATTTCACATACCTCATTTACCAAAGACCCTAGCTTAGCAATTAACTTAGCAGCCTAATGCTTAGAATCAGCTGCTAGCTGTTTCCCGCATGGCGGTTGGCTGACCACGGGTTCACCCACCTGCTGCTGCCCAGCATCGTGACAGTATTTAACGCAAATTCTACCCCAGGAAAGGGTCGAAATTCGCAGGCAAAGTGCGAAGGTTTGGGGTTTAGCTCAGTGGTGGAGTACTGGACTAGCCTGCACAAGGCCCTGGATTTCATCCCTAACATCACAGCAAAAATCAAAGTATGGTTTCTACCAAATGTGTATTGATTGTAACCACCATCAACAAATTATAAAATGTAAGTCAAGACGTCATTAATTCAGAAACTGCGTTTGCCTGGATTGTTTGTTCTTCTCAGATGTGACGAAGCTTGGGGAAGTCACTTACTGAGGAATGACAATCCGTTTCTAGATGAGAATTATAGCCTAAAATCCAACCTTCAAGATTGTGTTGTTCAAAACTGGATTGACAAAAAGGTCTCTGATTTCAAGTTTTTTTTTTGCAAATAAACTAGCATCATTTAGCTCACTTTTATTAGTATTGAAAACAAATAACGAAAGCCAGAACTGTACATATATATGTCAGAGAAAGACAAGGCCATTTTACACTTGAAAACTGGCAGTGATTCCAGTCGTGTTGGGATAACACTAGTTTAAGGAGCAGTTTCATTCCAAAAAGAAGCAGAAAAACAAAACAAAACACTCTTCCATGTCTCTCTTAAGAACTTAAGGTTGTATTGTATACATCACAGTGAAAGACAGCCTAAAGGACACGTTCATACATAAGAACAGATGTTAGGACAAAATTGTGGTGAATTATGATGGAAAATAGTCAATGGTAAATAATTTTCTTTTTAAATTGACTAAAAACTATTATCATAAAACAGCATATGTATCACATATGCTTATGTTATTGCTGTAGTTTGAATATGGTTTGTGTGCCACCAAGGGTTCTTACGTTGAAAATTTGGCTTGGTGCTATAGGGAAGTGGTGAGAATTTAAGAGGTATAGCCTAGTTGGAGGTCAAAGGTTATCGAGGATAATCCCTGGCAGAATTCATGAGGTAGTTGTTACAAAAGGAGCAATTTTTGCCCTTCTATCCTCTCTGTTCTTGTTTGAGATGAATTCACTTGCTTGTTCAGACAAGTACTGTCACAATGGGCCAGCACCTACTAACCTCATAGAGGTCAAGTGAACTACCCCTCTATACCTCCCACCACCCCTACTCCCACTTATCCTGGGCTTTGCATCTTCAAACCTTTAAGCTAAATAAGAAACCCATGTCAGATATTTCATTATAGCGATGGCAAGCTAATAAAGCTACATATATACCCATAACTTAAAAATAAAATAGTGTTTCCCCTTTTGGAAGTGAGCTATTGTTACATTCATCTTATCTTGTTCAGGGGGACCACCTCCCTGACCCTTGACACACTCACCACTCTCCAAAGCCCTAGAATAAAAGTGGCGACTTAGCAGATGGCTGGTCAATGTTGGTTAAGTTTAACCGAATTGCCTTTTGTGTAAGGGGTAATTTCCTATCATACTTTGATTTCTTGAAGAAGGAATGATGCTCATTAGTAATTCGTCAGTTCTTTTAAGCTTCCAGGTGGTTGGGATGTGGTTCGACCAGTCATTTCCTTTTACTGAAGAAGGAAGCTAGGACAGTCCCCCCTTTGCTGCAATGACTTTGGTGAGAAGGGGTGGTGACATTGTGGGCAGATGCTGGAGGAAGAGATGTCACGGTCCTTCTTGCTGGAGGGGGGGTGGAGCAATAGCTGTGTAGTCAGGAGTCTCTGATTCTAGAATTTAACACATTACTATACCATCCTAGGTGGGCTAACGTGGTTTTCTATTTATCGTGATTCTCTTAATCAGATAGTGTGGAAAGAACTCTGCACACTCATTAAGAGAAGTTCAAGAATAAACAGAGTACAGAACCCAGAAATCCTTGGCCTAAGGAGGAATCTCTAGGGATGGGTCTAGGGTATCTAGACAGGTGGCTGAGGTAAGGTTGAGGAATTCACTTCTTGGACTTTTCACCTCCTGTATGAAAAATGGAGGTGCCTGCTTGCTGAGGAGGCAGTGT